AAACAATAAGCGATTCATCCTATAAAGTCATTACAGATATGTATTTTCATACTTTTGTATGAAGTTGACTCTTCCCCACTCTTAATTTGCTGTTATTTGTATCATGATAAACTTACACATAACTATTAAGCCTAAAAATGAGCTGATGGTTAGGTAAGTCCAGTTCTTCCCCACACCAGTCATTTTGTTACATCTTGAGGAGATTTTAACTCAATTTTTCAAAATATTTGATTGTCAATATTAATCTTAGAAGACTGTTTACGCAAGGTGGTTGAATCTAACCAACAAGGCCAGTGCTACACTGCATCACAGTATGGTGACCTGAGAAGTGAGAGTCACAGAAGCTGCCACATCACCAGAGCCCAGTGAACCACGAGCACTCCGTCCAGTCCATCGTCATGTCCTGGGATGTTGTCTGAGTGACACTGCTCAGTTCTGCAGGTTTCCACTCACCCGGTCAGGTTCCAAAAACAAGAGTGGTCTCAGCAGCATGTGGCTCTGCCCCTCAGGCGTCTGGTATAATTGGGCTAAGTCTTTCTCGAGGGACCAATATAAATATTTTACTATCCTCATTGTATAAATCATGTATTCGTTCCTTTATCCTTCACTACCATTCCTCTTTCTCCACATTTATCATTTTATCTTTATCAAACTTTTGCACTTTTTAGAAAGGATTTGTGTTTGGCCACTGCTGGTCTAGAAGTGCCTCCCCTCAGTCCACTTCCATTTACACAGTGTGGGGCTAACAGGTGCAGAACTAGTGGGCTGTTTTGACTACTAGGAAATACAGCTCCATTCACTTGTTAACCCCAATTTTGCCAGATGAGATAGAGGCACAACCTTTATCTCTATCCCATCAACACCCACTTTATTTATCCAACTAGAGGCCCGGGTGGGGTCCATCGGCCTGGCCAACGATCGAGGCCTATCGGGAGCCAGCCAGCCAGGGGGAGGTAACCTGGAGGGTTGGCCAGCCAGCTCCCTCCAATCGGGGCCGATGGGGGGGCCGGCCGGGCAGGGGGAGGCGCCGTGGGAGGTTGGCCGGACGTGGGAGGTTGGCTGTGGGAGCACACTGACCACCAGGACGCTCCTGCATTGAGCGTCTTCCCCCTGGTGGTCAGTGCGCGTCATAGTGACTGGTCGTTCCAGTCATTTGGTCATGATGATTGCTTAGGCTTTTATATATATAGATAGTAACTGTTTAAAGATTTCTATCCTAGTGGATGGGTCTCTGCACTCTCCCCATTTTCTTTCCCCTCATTGTCTTGTAAATCTTAGTTTCCACTGGCTGCAGCCAACTATTCCCTTTGGTGGCAGCCCTGAGGTACCTCAGAACAGTCTGAATCCAAGCTGGTTCAGCCTCAAGATCCAGTCTGACACTCTACCTTTCATTTGAGTTATTACAGATAGCAACAACAGGCTTGATACTAGCTTATTTCTTGTTACTTGGTTTTCTTATGCATCCAGTGAGCCAACTTCTCAGGAGTTGGAGCTTTCATTTCTAAATTCCTTTGGTAACTTTTGCCTCCAATAACTAATTATAGTGTAGCTGTAGTTCCATACCACAGGTGACCTTGTGGCTACCCCAAAATCAAAGGCTCATCAGACTCCACCCTTTCATCCTTCCTTTTCTTGAACCATATGTTTCAGTCAGGCTAGTGAATCCCCCTTCTGACAGCAACTGTGAAGTATTTGGGCCAACTACCAAGTTAGAGGGAATAGCCTCCAAGATCATTCTTATTTCTGATACCAACTGCAAGGTCAGGGAGCCCTAACATCACCCTTGGATCTGATAATTCACTAGGAGGACTAACAGAACTTACTGAAAGATATTATACTCACAGCTATGGTAATTTTTTTGTATTCTCTATCCTGGGAACAATAATCCTGACCTTTTTCCTACATTGGGGAATTCCTTCCTTCCTTCCTTCCTTCCTTCCTTCCTTCCTTCCTTCCTTCCTTCCTTCCTTCCTTTATGGAGAAAGGATACAAATTCAAATCAGCCAAGAGTACATAGGGTGAAGTCCAGAGAAATACCAAACACACAATTTCTGTTTTCCTCCATGGAGTCAGGACATGTTACTTTACCTGGACAGATGTTTGACAATATGCATGGAGTGTTGCCAACCAGGGAAACTCACCTGAGCTCACTGTTCAGTTTTTACTGTGCTTTGGGCGCATGTTTGTGGATGTCCCAGCCCACCCATCTAAACTCCATCACCTCCCTCTCCACTGCAGTCTCCCTGGGCCCTAGGGGTATACGCAGGCATGGCCTGCCCTTTGGGTTACTCAGAGATGGTGGGTTATACATGCACTAGAAGTGGGCTTGGAGGGGTGCAACCTTTGGGTACATATGCCCTTTTGGTTTTACAAATGTCGCCCCTGGAGAGGGGCACAGACAAAAAAGGGAAAAGCATGCCTGCAGTTGAAACAGATCCTGTTATTTAGCAAATCTCATTAACCCTTATCAAATCTTTAACCAGACTGCCTTCCTTTATCGCCATAACTATACTATCACCTCTGACTTCAGCTCACCGGGTCCTAGATGATCCAAAAGGTGCACAAAAGCACATTACATCTGCAAGGCGAGGTGCAGAATCTCAGACACAGAAAGAGGTTTGACTTCCGTCCTTGCCAGGTTCTCAAAAAGCTTTTGAACAAGAAGCTGAGAGGTTGGAAGACTCTAAGGCTGGACCGCTCAGCAGACCATGTGTGGACAATCTGTGTCCGGAGCTGCTGCTGGCTGGGCCACTCAGAAGGTTTGCCAGAATCCCCCATTTTCCACGCTCTGCTTCTGACAATGACCAGAAGGGTAGGCAATCTTACCACAACACCAGCATCATCACCACAGAACGACAGGAAGTCCAGCAAACAGTCTGCATTGGACCTGATCCTGGCTTCGCCAGGGAGCACCTGTGCAGTAGTCAGAAGGAACCGCTGTGTGTGCGTTCCCGTAAATGTCTATGCCACCTCCAGAACTATTCACTGCAACCTGGAAACTCAGCAAATTGCCACTGTCATCCTAACCCTGCCACCTAAGTGTGCTCAGGCCCCACATCTCTGAGCCTTCTCAACTAGCTCCCTTCAAAACTCAAATTGTGGGTCGACTGCCTTGTTTAACCTTTAATAATAATTCTTTTTCATCATATTCCTAAGTTTGCCTCTTGTGAAATCTCTGATCTCTAAGACCCTCTTCACCTGCCAGTCTAGGAACTTGCACAGCAGAAGATAACAGCTAGTAGTCCTTCAGGGCCAGCAGGAATGTGGAAGCCAGCCCACCCCTGACAACTGATTGGACCAAAGTCAACCTCACCATGGCTCTCTTCCATTCCTAGCAGTGCTAACCACAGACTGCCTGTGTGAAACAACAGCGGCACTGACACGTGCTCACCCTGCCCCTTTCCACCCTCTACCCTGCTTCACCCAACTTTAGTCAGGCTTCCCCCACCCACAAACCAGGAATTTGGGGTTATCCCCAAGTTTAAGCAAGCACACAGGTGAACACTATGCCCCTTAACAGTTCACACTGAGAATCTGCTGACAACAGAGAAAAATATTCCTGTGGCAGCAACCCGATTTTGTGCCTGTTTCCTACTCTTGTTCCCTCCTCACCCATGAAGCTCCATGGTCCTGCTCAAACCTCCCCAGAAAGAAAAGCCCGTTCTGTATGATTTTAGATGCTTGCTGCTGTCTGAAATGAGAGCATTCTCCCTACTGCATTAGCCTTCGATTAAAGTTGCTCCTTACCGAAGTCTAGATATGTTTCTATTTGGCAACAGAGTCCCATAGATGAGGTGTTAGATCATTTGCCCAATGTGAGCACCATCTAGACATGGTGACATATGCCAGTCTGGCTTCCTGGCTTCCAAGCATGGTGTATGGGTGTGGACAAGGACAGGTCTCTGTCAGAACCGCCACATTGCCCAGCCTCCCTGCCCCCTTTTCCTGCTGCCAGTTCACAATGGAGGTTGTGCCCTCACTAGGACCAGTTCCACTCACTGCCCCGATCCTGCTCCCAGGCTCCTGCCTTCTCCCCCCAACCCCCTCTTGAGCTCAGTGGCCAGAGGCCAGTATGGATGCCAGGGGTATAAAACTGCACACTTGGAGGGCTGGGTGGGGCTTGTGCCAGGAGACATTGATTCCCAACGCAGCCACAGGGTGGGATCCAATTGGGTCTGGGTCTTGCCAAGACCCATACATCAGCCTGGACCTGCTGTGCCCACCCTCTTCCTCAGGCCCCTCCCAGCTCTTCAGTCTATCCCCATCACATGGTCCATGCTCTGCCGGTTTCCAAGCCCCTCAGGAGCCTCTGCTGGAGGGACAGGGGTGCTCAGCTACCTGGTCTGTCTGGGACTCCTTGACCATCTGACCACCATGGCCGCTGCCCCACCATGGCCGTCCTTACTGATGTTTAGGAAGCCAGGCCATCATGTGATTTTTTTAAATTTAAATTTCCAGTTTTGGGAGGTCATCAGTGATGAGCATGGGATCGACCCCACTGGCAGTTACCATGGAGACAGCGAGCTGCAGCTGGAGAGAATCAATGTGTACTATAATGAAGCTGCTGGTGATTATCTGAATGTTTTTTGCTTTTCTTCCAACCTTGCTTTCCATACAGGGGCAGATGCAATGTACTAGGAACATACCAATGACAGAGAAATGCTCTTGCATTCATTTAAAATGTCAGCTGCTAAAGAACACACTACAGTTCCTTAAGACCCTGCATGTTTGCCATGGCCAAGCTTGCTCATTGGCTCCTTTATGAAGCAGCAGTGCTCCCCTATTCTTGTCCTTTTGTGTCACACGCTGGAATGAGCTCTAGTGAACTCTGCTGTGAAAGGCTCAGAGAGCACCAGCTTGTCTGATTCCTTTGCCACCGCAGATCTAAGTCCAGCTCTTCCTCCCCGCAGGTAACAAGTACGTACCTCGGGCCATCCTGGTGGACCTGGAGCCGGGCACGATGGACTCGGTCAGGTCTGGACCATTCGGCCAGATCTTCAGGCCGGACAACTTCGTGTTTGGTATGTTGTCGTGATCAATGGGAACTGGCTCAGGGAGTCTTCTTCCTAAACACTGTGGAAATCAGAGTTTTTCGTGTTGAGTGCCAAGGTGGACGCTGTGTGTCCACAGAGCCCTGAGTCGTGGCCTCATTCCACCCAGTCCACGGGCTGTGACTGTCCAGATGGCTCTAAGACAGTGGTTCTCAACCTGTGGGTCGCGACCCCTTTGGCGGTCGAACGACCCTTTCACAGGTGTCGCCTAAGACCAACCTGCATATCAGATATTTACATTATGATTCTTAACAGTAGCAACATTACAGCTATGAAGTAGCAATGAAAATAATTTTATGGTTGGGTCACAACATGAGGAACTGTATTTAAAGGGCCAGAAGGTTGAGAACCACTGCTTTAAGAGCACTGTCAGCCTGCAGGGGCTGTGGTAGGTAGTCCCTGAACCACAGAGCAGCCTGTGAAGGGTAAGGAATGAAGGCGATGAACAAGCTTCCAGTGGGAGTTACTAGGCTACAGGTAAGTTCAGAGGGCCCCTCACAGTAGGTGGCCACTCCAAGAAGCAAAGGCACAGGAGTGAGCACCTGCTTAGAGCCGGTGTTCTCCACTGATCTCATTGTGCCTTTGCTCTTGCCTGGTAATGGGGCCTAACTTAAGTGTATAAAGACTGAGACACACCTGTGCCAACTGGTCAGGAGCACGTGTCCTTCCCCAGGATCAGGCCCTGACAGTGTCTGAGCTCACCCAGTAGATGTCATGTCCTTTTCTACAATCCAAACGCTGGCAGCGGCGGGCCTGGAAGGGTGAGATGGTTGCTAGCAGCTCCACAAAGACCCAGGACAGCTTCATATGAGTCGCAGTGTGATGAGGCTGCTCAGACAGCTGTGGTCAGACCTGCATTCCACACAGCTCTCCATCCAGAACAACCCAGCTATGGGCGAAAAAGGTGAAGGGATTCAGAAGTACAAAGTGATCCTTACAAAATAGTCACAGGGATGTAAAGTAGAGCATAGGGAATATAGTCAATAATATTGCAATAACTAGGTATGGTGTCAGATGGGTCTAGGTTTAGCTGGGTGATCACTTCGTAAGATAAATAAATATCTAATCACTATGTTGTATACCCCAAACTAATATAATGTATGTCAAGTATAATTGAAAAAAAAAATTTAAAGAGAGAAAAAGGAAAACAAAGTACAACCTGACTAGTTCTGAATCCAGTGCCTCCCTAGATTATAGCTGATTCTAAATTCTGTTTCATTGGGGGGTGGGGGGGGGTGAGCAGGAAGGGACTGGAATGTTTAGCTGGGCAGGTATCTACAAAGTAGGGAAAGGACAGACAGCATCAGCTAAGGAGCCAAATCAGGACCAATGTCTAAAAGGCACGTGTCAACAGATGTGGAGAAACTTTCTAAAAAATGGAATTGTAGCCAACACTATTGGTAGCTGCCCATGTTCCTTTGACACTCTTTCTTTCCAGAATCCCTACCCTTTGAGAGGAGGGTCCATTCAAGGACAGGCTTCCTGACTCTCAGGGGGACGGCTCTTACAGGTGCACCAGCGCGGAGCTTGTGCCCACAGCAGCCATCCTCTCTGAATGCAGCCTGCAGGCTTCCTCCTGCCCCTCCCCCAACTCAGTTCCCCACTCCCCTCCTGCTGCTTCCTGGGATCCCATCCCTTACAAACTCCCACTCAATCCTTGTCTCAGATATGCTTTGGGGAACCAACCTAAGACGCTCACCAAGGAGGAGATGGCATAGTAGGTTCTTATTGCTGTGTAACAGGTTACCACAAACTCAATGGCTTCAAACACTGGAATTACCCCACGGTTTTCATGGTCAAGGGTATGGTGTGGGCCTCACAAGGCCGACCACCCCAAGCTGCTCCATCTGGGTGCAGGGCCCTCTTCCATGCTCCTCAGGCAGTTGCACAATCCAGTTCCCCACAGTTGTGGGTCTGTAGTCCCTGCTTGCTTGTTGGCTGCTGGCCAGTGGCTGCCTGCCATTCCTTGCCACAGGCCTCTCCATGACATGTAGCTGCCCCTTTAAGGCCAGCGGGAGAGTATCTCCACTGCTTTGACCCGCAGATGTTCTCTTATGCCACCAGCTGGAGAAGAGTCCTGCTTTAAAGGGGCTTGTGTGATTGGGGAAGGCACACCAGATTTTCTCTATTTCAGGGTCAACTAATGTGGGACCTTAATTACTTAAGTGAAATATCTTCACAGCAGCTGGAAAAGGGTGTGTGTACCCCAGGGCTGGGTGAGCCTTGGGGCCATAATCATTTTCTGCCCACCACCAACAGACCACTTGGGAAGCGGAAAGAACAGGGTCTTAGGAAGATCTTGTCCCAACGTCTGAACCTGTGTTCATAGAGTACGTGAATTTTCTACTTGCTAGTTGTATGGCCTTAGGCAAGTGACTTAATGCCTCTGAGAATTAGTTCTGTTTCCAGAAAATGGTGATAACCATACTTACATCAGAGGCTTATTGTGAGGGTTAAATAAAATAACCTATGTAAACTACTTGTCATGATGGGCAGCCGTTGCTGCTGCAGTGAGCATCTTATTAAGGACGGCCTTCAGGGAAGACTATGGGACTCTCGCCAGGAACTCTGCAGGGGCGACCAAGATGGAGTACTTTTGGTATATCTTTTAATTTTAGTAGAATTTATGATTTTCAGGTCCCTTTTGACCACAGCAGTCTATGGCTCTATGTGAATATTCTTGGAAGAGTCACTGTACTTATCAGAATCAGGCCTTAATTGGCTGGTATTAAAGTATTTCCTTGGTACAGACTTTCATAAGTGGGTGAAGCCCGAGTGCTCAAGTTGGGGGAAGAGTAGCAAGAGGTGGGGGAAAGAATCAAAAAGGAAACTTAACCACCCTTACAATCTCCCCTAGGACTACTTCCAGTTCAGGGAGTTAAATCTGCAACTGCAGGTGGCGACAATGGGAACTTCTGTCTTAGGCTGGGCTGCTTCAGCCATCTGAGATTTCCTGAGGCAGACCTGCAGGGCAGAGGTCCTGTTCTAACTTACATCTCACCTGTGCTTCCTGGTTTCCTTGTCGTGCTTTCTCAGCACTTTCTTTTAGCTCAGATCTAAGACTGGACAGCAGGTTCTGATCCTGGCATTAACCTCTGGCCGGCCCTGACAGCTCATTGGTTGAAGCAGCTCCGGATCTTGCTGGGCCTCTGTCTTCCCTCACTCATCCCACACCCAGCCTATGGCCTCCCCACTATGGACCACCTGAGCCTCTGGCCTATTTTCAGCTTCCTTTCTCCAATGTCAGAATTAGCATGTCATCTGGATCCATATACCTCATTAATTACAAAATTATCCAACCTTAAAAGCCATCTGTGAATCACCACAGTACACAGTATTCTATGACTTAACAAAAATTTGACTTTGAAACACCCAATCCATAGAAATTTCTGGTTGTACATTGCTTCTCTATTCTGTAAGTCACCCAAAGGCCTACCTTTCCTCTTTTCCCCAACAAACATACAGCAATCAAGCTGTCCTCGGCCAGTGGCCCCCTGCTGGCCAGTGAGGGGAAATGACTGATCCAAGACCTCACTTCGACTTCTTTTCTGCAAGGTAACTGCCTACAACTGGCTTCTCCCTTTCCTCTTTCAGATGATGCCTTTCCAACAATTTATCTCCGTACTCTTTAACCTCCTTCTTTCTTCTAGTTATCAAAAAATCTAATTATGCCCTAGCCAGTTTGGCTCAGTGGCTAGAGCATCAGCCTGTGGACTGAAGGGTCCCAGGTTCGATTCCGGTCAAGGGCTTGATCCCCAGTAGGGGGCAGGCAGGAGGCAGCCAATCAATGATTCCCTCTCATCACTGATGTTTCTATCTCTCTCCCTCTCCCTCTAATTATATTACTTCCTTGTATCCAGAAAATGATACTAATCATGAGTAATGGATGAAGCTAGTTTAAGAGCTTTTTAGGTCCAAGGTACTTGTTCTTGGAGGCACCACCCATATCATACGTAAATATTTACATTTCTATTCTGTAAAACATTTACATTAATTATAATTTATATGTTATGATCTAAAAATTAAGTTGCATTGGATTAATTGATGTGGTATGATGATCTGTAGACCTGTAATTAAACATTTATTAATTTTACTATTGCAGTTTTCTTTTCATATTTTGGAGTTGTCACTACCCGCCCCTCCTCTCCCCCTATCTCAAACATCTTCTTTAGGTCTCTTTTGTTGTTGTTGTTGTTGTTGTTAATCCTCACCTGAGGATATTTTTTCCATTGATTTTTAGAGAGAGCGGAAGAGATGGAGGGAGAAGGCTGAACCGCTGGGCCAGGACGCCAGGAGCAGCTGCCCCACCCCTTCTCTTCCCCCCCTCTCCCCACCTCCACCTGCCTGCTGTGAGCCCCTCCCAGCACACTTTCAGTAGAAGACAGACTGGGTTCTGCACGCCTAGCTGGCAGCATGCCGAGGAAAAGGCTGACGTCAACCGTGTTATTTGCCTTGAAAGTGAAAGAACAAACCTTGAGCTCTGGAGCCTCCGTGAAAATGACCAGCACCCTTTCTGCCCGCAGCTTGGCCCCGTGAAGTGTGGGCGGTGGCCCCACCCAAATGCTTTGGCAGCTCCCATTTCAGCGTGAAAGAGGCCTGTATTCAGAAAACAGATGGGAGGGGATCAGGACTCTGGAAAGTGAAGGGAATAGGCTCCTCCAGGCGCTAGTCCAGTCCTGTAACCAGCCTTGGGGGTCCTCGAGCTCAGAACCATCCTCATGGCAGGGACCGCTATTGACTTGCACACCCTTGGGGTTTGGGTGAAAGAAAGAACATTGCGAGTTGTGATGCTGGTTCGTTTCCTTGCTGTGGACAACCTCATGGACCAGGGGCCAGAATCACAATACCGAGGTGTGTACACAATGTTATGGGCACAGAGGAGGGAGCATCACAGAGGAAATGGCTTTAGAGCTGAGCCCTGCTTCAAGGGGAAGAGCTCCTGAAGTGGGGGAGGGAGAGAAAGACTGAGGAAGAGGTGGGGAGAAGGGAGAGCAGGAAGGAAGCAAGGAAATAGTAAGACCAATTGTAACAGCTAAAATTTATGTAACACCATGGCTCAGGTGCTTTCTTTCAAATATCCATTCGATCCTTGTAACAGTCCCAGGAGGCAGTTACTATTGTTATTCCCACGTTACAGATGAGGCAATTGGAGCACACAGAGGTTAAGTAACTTGCCTGGGTCACATAGCTAGTGGCATAGTCAAGATTTGCACCAACTTTGTCCAGGGCCTGTGGGAACATGGAATGGGCTGAATGGGGGTGGGGGGAGCGGGGTTTAGTCCAGTAATGTGAACAGCCTTGGCCAGTTAAATAGGGACAGTATGCCCTGAGAATTTGATATGGCCCAGACACTACAGATTACAGGAAAATAGCAGCAGTTCAGAGAAGATTACTTATTTCTGAGAGTTTGTAAGATCACGTCTGATTTAAATCATGGCATAATAAAATGTAGTATTTTTACATTCTTAATTTTGAAGGCAAAAATAATTGAACTTATATTAAAAAGGAACAAACAGCCGGCCTGTGTGGCTCAGTGGTTGAGTGTCAACCTATGAACCAGGAGGCCATGGTTTGATTCTGGTCACGGCACGGGTTGGCCCAATTTCCTGCTATTCTCTGTATGTGCTGTGCAGAATAGCATTGCGGTGGCATGGCCTGGTGGTTGGCCTGCCCACAGGTGGAGGGGAGCAAGAGCTCCCCGCCCTCGGATGAGCCAGCTTAGGGTGGGCAGGCATTATTTAAAAACCTGCTTGTGTGCTTCTGTTGGTGGTGAAACAGCACCAGAATGTCACCGGCGACTGGACCTGAGTTCAGAGATCTCAGTTCTTGAGTTTTGGCTAAGAAATAATTCAGATACAAGACTCAAATTGTAAGAGGAAGTTTATTTAGAAAGTTACAGAAGTAGGAACTGAGCTAGCTGGGTGTGAGCTGAGGAAACAAATTACAGAGGCCAACGATGAGCCCTTGGAGCTTAGGAAAGAGAAAGGTAAAGGTAAAGCATGGGGGGAAGAGGTGGGGGAAGGTGTGCTCCAGGGAGGGAGAGGGCACTGGGCCATCCGTCTTGAGGGTATGTACCTGGAGGTCTCAGGGGAGGATCCCAATAGAGTATTCATCAGCTTTCCAGGTGTGTCCTTTCAGGGTCATGGTCTCTGCTGATTGGTGGGCCCCAGGGCAGGGGTCATTAGTCAATGCAGCTGGTCCTGATCTCAGCTACCACATCACCTGTCTTGTTTTGCTACTTTTCTGGGCCTGGAGCTGAAACACAACTGAGGCCTAGGGGTTAATGCTGAAGGGAGGGGTCCAGAAAGGGCCTACATGGGAGTTGAATGAGGCCACTCTTCGGCCCTTGTTCCTCCTCTGAAGGGGTCTACCACGTGACTAGTGACATGCCAGGGGAGGGAAGGTCAGGGGAGGGTCCGAACCTCATGACCAGCGATATGAAAGGTCAGGGGGTCCAAACCACATGACAGATGAGGCACTTGGAACACAGAGAGGTTACGTGATACACTAGGGGAGGAAAGGTTACCTTGGGGGTGAGGTCCTTGTTTTCCCAAATTTGCCTGTTGCTAGGCACCCAGAGCTTTCTGCCTTGGTGACCTTCTGTACCTGGCCCATCATCCTTGCTCTGCTCAGGTCTGTCTAACTGCCTCCCACGGTTCTCTGACATCAGGGGCAGGTGTTGGAGGAGGCATGGGCAAACAAGTAAGAAGGTTGGGGCAGGAGAAGGCAGCCTTGGGAAGAACATTGGCTGCCAGTAACCCACAGAGGCCCTGCTGTAAGAAATGTCACTTACTTATTGACTACTTACTTATTGACCGCATGTACACTAAAGGTCCAGTTCACAGACACTGTCTCTCATCTTCACAACATAATACAACCGATTTCCAAATTTCAGACCAGTAAGAGAGGCTCTGAGAGGTTAGGTGACTTGCTTAACAACCCAATCAGGATGCAGCCAAGTGGGCACACTCCACAGGGTGATCTACACTTCCACAGGTAAAGAGATGCCCACCTGTTAGAGTCCTCACATCCCCAATAGCATCCCTTCCTGGTCTTATCATCTCTCTTCTTTGGCATACCATGGTTGAAACAACAAAGGCCAAGAGGCAATTATCTCCTGAAAGGCTTTGTGGAACTGTGTAATCAGTGAAGTTACTGGAGCAGGCCATTCTCTGGAGAGGCTCTGGAAGACTCCAGCTGGCCGTGAAGAGCCCAAGACCTGTGAGTTGGCGATAAAGGTGGAGAGCAGGTGGAGGCCCAACCCTAGGAACCTGGGAACAGCACTTGTGGGATGTGCTCTACTGGGGCCCCAGCCATGTGGGGAGGGGAAAGAGGAGGAGAAAGTCTGGGAAACCCCTCCCACCCTGAGTGGAGGCCCCAGGTGCCTGCCTGTGTGGTGGGGGCACCCTGAAAGACCAGCTTCCTAAAGCAGGGTGATAAAGCCATGATTTTGCCCACGCACCTCAGATATATGCTCACTAGTAACATGACAAATAGGCTTAGTATTTATGACAGCATCACCTTGGGTTTTATGGGGTATTTTTGCTCCAGAAACTCAACCCGCTTTCATATAGAGCTGCTCATTTCCTGCTCACAAAGCTGGCTTCGGGACTCCTATAATTATCAACGTTTTATAGTTGGAGAAACCGGCTATAATGAAAAGGAGGATGTGCTGAGAAACAAAAGCAGTCCCAGGTCCCTGCTCAGCTGGCCCACTGTTAAGATCATCTTCGAGAAGAATTAGGTTGGGCCATACCTCACCCTAACCAAACCTTTAACACTCACCGGGGGGCCTTCTCTTTGTAGAAGGAGTCTAGGTGCCTTCATTTACTAGCTTTCTGGCTACTCAGCTCTGTCAGCCTCCTTCCTGAGCTCTGACATCGGGATAGTTGGCTCCAGAATAGTGCTGTTCAATAGGAATACAATGTGAACCACATAGGTCATTTAAAATGTTCTAGTAGCCACTGCTAGTCTAGAAGTTACTTAAAAAGTTAACAGAAACAAGTGAAATTAATTTCAAAATATATCCAAAATATTTTGATATGTAATTAATATACAAAATCAGTAATGGAGCGTTTCACATTCTTTTAACTTATGGAATCCATGGGATCCTCTGGGTATTTCACACTGAAAGCACATATCAGTTCAGACTACCCACGTTTCACGTGTTCTATATTTACACGTGGCTGGTGGCGCTGGGCCTGGACTACCCAGACCTGTAAGATTTTGCTGAGGATGAGGTGACACCGTGTATGTAAGGCACTGGTACTTTGGCTGAAGCCATCCCCTTCCCCCTCTCTCTGCCACACACGCTCGCATGTAAGTGGCCTTTACAAGGACCCAAGACCCAAAGCAGACAAATCCGGCACCGCGTCCCTTTTCCTAGCCCCTCCCAAACCGACCATCTTCCTGACACGCAGAAGGGGGGAGCCGCCCACCCTCCCTCCTTGTTTTCCTTGAAGCCAGCTGCCTGCCCATCGTTCTCACCGGGAACACCCACTCCTCCCCACTTGCAGGCCCCCTGGGTTCATAATCGCCACGAATCCC